ATATTCTTGAAGTCATTCAATCCATCTGGCGATTTGACCCTCCGGGTTTTTGAACTGCATCAACCACTTAAGGGCGGCATGATCGGTACGGATTAAGAATGTCCTTCCATATAGGTATTGATAGAAGTGTTCCACGCATTTAACAACTACCAGGAGTTCTCTTCTCGTGACGCAGTAATTTCGCTCAGATTTCGAGAGCACTTTACTAAAATAACCCAGTACTCTTTCTTTTCCCCCTTGAATCTGTGAAAGCACTCCTCCAATTCCCACTACATTACTACCATCAGTATCCTGGATAAATTCTTCCTCTGGTAATGGATAGCCTAGTATTGGTGCTGTTGTTAAATGCTTCTTTAATGTTTCAAAGGCAGTTTGGCAGTCTTCGTCCCAGCAGAACTCTCTTGCTTCTTCTGTGAGTCGCGTTAGTGGTTTAGCAATATCTGCAAACTTCTTTATGAATCTTCGGTAGTACGTTCAAAGCCCAAGAAAACTTCTTATTTAGTGTTTATCCTTTGGTTGTGGCCACTCTTTGATAGAAGCGACTTTTTCCTTATCTACAACCACGCCATCCTTGCTGACTACATGACCCAGGTAATTAACTTTATTTTGAAATAGTTGGCACTTCTTGGGGTTTAGCATCAGTTGGGCAGCTTGAAGTCTGTTAAAAACATCTTCTAAGTTTTTTAGATGTTCATCAAATGTCTTCCCCAAGACTATGATGTCATCTAAACACACCAGGCATGTTTTCCAGGATAACCCTCTCAATACATTTTCCATGTCTTTCAAATATCGCGAGGGCATTACATAATCCAAATGGCATAACATTGAATTGCCACAATCTAGATCCGGTGGTAAAAGCTGTCTTTTCTTTGTCTACTGTGTCCATTTCCACCTGCCAGTATCCAGACTTCAAGTCTAAGGTAGAGAATAGTTTACTTCCGGCCAATGTGTCCAAGGTATCGTCGATACGAGGCAGAGGGTAACTGTCTTTCTTGGTAACATTGTTCAACTGTCAGTAATCCACACAGAACCTCGTAGTTCCATCCTTTTTCTGGACCAGGACTACCGGAGAGACCCATGGGCTGGTAGAAGGCTCTATCACCCTGTCTTCCTTCATTTCCTGAACAATCCTTTCAGCTTCCTCTCTCTTGGCCTTTGGTAATCTTCGAGCCGATTAACGAATCGGCCTGGCGTCACCAGTGTCAATTTTGTGTTTTACAACAGAAGTTCTTCCTGTTTTTCCTCCTTTTGGTACAAAAATGTCACGATATCGTCGAAGAAATTCCTTTATTTTCTTCTTCTTCTCTGATTGATTCAGAGATTGACCAGCAACTGCAATCATTTGCTCGAATTTGTTGTTGGAATTATCAGAAGTTGTTGTCTGACGAATTATGGAAGTTACTGGTACATAAGTTCTTGATGGTAATCGGGTGATCATTAACGTTTATGAGACGGACTGGAATTTCTTCAGCAGTCGTGACCAACCCCTTTCTGATCAGAATACCTCGTCCAACCTCTTCATCGTAGTTCCAAGGTTCCATTATGACAGGTGTTCCTTCTTCCATAGTTTCTTGAAGCCGTGCTACTATAACAGTTTCACTTCTGCCAGGTACCACCGTATCCTCCTGTACAGCAACTGGCACGGTATTGTCCCCATATGGATGTAGGAATACCTCTCCGGCACCAACTTTGATCACTCTGTTTTTAAAGTCCAACTGGAAACCATGTAAGTTCATTACATCCATTCCAAGAATAACATCTTCTTCCATATCAGCGACAATAACAGTATGATTGAACTTTTCTGTACCAATTCCCAATTGAACCTGGATTTCCCTATGGATGTTGGCACTTTCACCTGTGGCAGTCCACAGTCGCAACCTTGTTGGTAGAAGTCTCTTAAGGTTCTTTATGGTTGTTGGTCGTATAATGGTCCTAGTTGCTCCAGTATCCACCAACAGTGTATACTTTTTACCATTTGCTTCGCCGTCTACGTATACACTATCATCGCGAAATTTCAAAGAGGCTATCAGTATGAGAGGGTCTTTGGAACGGTTTCGGGTCGAAGCTGCCCCCTCTAGACCGACCCGCTCTAGTTTTCCTGCGGCATGTTGTCTTCAGTTGTTGGGACCCTAGAGCGTTTGCACGAACTGCGTACATGTCCCAGTTCACCTCAATTCCAGCACATGATGGTCTTTGTCTTCACCTTTTTATCAGTAAAGGTCTTCATTATGCTAACTAGTTTGTACAGTTTATCTTCTACGTTTTCTTCTTTTACAGTTCTCACTTTACTGTATACTCCAGAAGCCTGCATAGCTGCCTCATACTCTAAAGCAGCGGACAAGACATCGACCAATGTTTTGTGGCGGGCTAAGCAAAGTGTTTTCTGCATCTCGTGGTCACAGAGTCCATCTACAAATGTTTGGACTGCTAAACATTCCATCATGTTTTCCGGATCTGATGGGTAAGCAAATCGCACCAACCTGATAATATCTACTTCATTTTATTGAAGAGTCTCGTCTCGTTTCTGTTTGCGATTATTTAACTGTGACTGGTATAAATGCTCCAAGTGTTCTTGGCCAGATCGCATGTTCAATCTCTTTTTGAGTTGTTCAAAATCACAGGTATAGTCTGAAGAACATCTAAATCACCTCCTCAAAGGGCGATTGTCAGATTTACGGCCTTTTCTCTCTCAGACCATTCGTTTGCCCTCGCAGCTGTCTCGAACTGTTTAATGTAGTTGGTCCATGACATCTTCCCGTCGAAAGTTGGGGCTTTAAAACGAGCAGAATTTACAGCTCCTTCCAATTTCAACTTCGACTCCACCTCATAGCACTTTATTTCATTGTCTTTGGCCGGTTCTGAATGTTCCAGTCATTCTAACTTCTTTTCCATTTCTTTTATTTTCTCCTCAGTGGAAGACATTATTTTATTCTCAACAGAAGAACTCTTATCTTCCATAGAAGAAATTTCGCTTTTCAAAGTAGATATATCAGAAGAAACTTTAGTTTCTAAATAAGAGATTTCCTTTTTCACGGAAGACATATCAGAAGACACCTTTTCTTCTAAGGAAGAATTATCAGACAAAACTTTACTTTCTAAGGAAGTAATGCCAGAAGAAACTTTAGTTTCTAATGAGGAAATATAATTTTTGATAGAGGATACATCTGAAGAAACTTTATTTTCCAAAGAAGAAATGTCAAAAGAAATATCGGTTTTCATGGAAGACATTTTACTTTCCAAAGAAAAAATTATAGAAGACGCATCATCAGATACGTTTCCGGATCCAAACCTTCACTTTCCAGTGCTTTTTTAAGTCGTTCTGCCAGCTCTGCTTTCTTTCCTGTCGTTTCCAGATCACGATCTTTTAATTCTCGACGCAATTCAGCCACTTTTAAATCACACAGATTTTTAGCCATGATTGTCCACTATTTATTTATAGTTCCACTTCTAACAGCAATGTGATGAAAATCTAATTTATTTATAGTTTATTTACTTAAAACACATTATTTACAATTTATTTATGACATACTATTTAATTTATATAATACTTAGACACTAACTAACAATTCTAATTTATTTTTTACACTTTAATTTTTCATTACAATGCTCTATACTAAACTGTCTATACAACTAACTGCTGTCTTCAAACTCGCAATATTTATATCAAGCCAACTCTGTAACCAGAATACTCTAGATGGTCCCGAAAATTCCATCTCTGATTCAACGGCACTCTCCGCCCGTTCTAGCCGTTCTAGTGCGTTAGCGGCATTCCTGAACGTTCCGTCGCCTCGAGCATGAATCGGCTGCCAGCTGAAGGTTGCGCTTGCTTTACACACAGGGTCGGATTAGGAATTTCATGACAATATGCATTTAAAATTAGTTAATAGGTATCGCTAATGAGTAAAACAAAACATAAATATATCCTATCAGGTTACTGCAAAAACAAGTTAACTCACATTTTTAATGTTTCGAGAAAACGCTGCTCAAAAATTTAAAATTGAATAAAAAATCAGTAAAAGCTTCAAACTGCTTAATAAACAACTCCAATGAAAAAAATGTATTCAAAAGTATATACTATGACTCTGTAATTTGTAACAAAAGAAAAAAGAAAAAAACGGCACTTTGCTTATTTTAGCTGTTTACATGCAGGACATAATATTCAATTTATGTGTCACTACCTTGAATGGAAGGTTCAGGTACCGTGTCTTTAACATTTAACAAATACATTCAACAAAATAAGTGTTCTGGCCTGTATCTTGTTTTGGCAGAAACACTGTTAAGAATCGGACAAAACACATTTAGCAAAAATAAGTTATATGCCTCTTATCTGGTTTTGGTAGACACATTATTAGCAACTGAATACAACATTATGATTATATTTCTGTATAAATTCCACTGATTTTGTTTGTGCACATTGTGAATGTATTAATATGGAGTTACTTTTTGTTGGCCATCTTTTTATCATGAATACTTCGTTCACACTTGTCTTTTTTATACTGTACATTATTTGAAACATTTTGGAGACGAAAGTGTACTTAACCCGAAAATGACAAAAGTGAAGCAATCTTGTTCTTGCAAACGTTTATTTAAAGATTAACGTGATATTTAGCGCAGCGTCCGATGAATGTTTTCGCGCATTTTGTTCAGAATTTTAAAATCATAAATCTAGTTTTAAAAAAGCACCTTCTTTCTGGCCACAAAAAAGCTTGGAGGGCCACAGGTTGAGTATGGCTGGTCTAGACTAAAGATAATAAAAATGGAGAAATGATTCCAGTACTTAGTTAGAAAAAATGTAAGAAGATCTTGGGAAAATAATTATTAAAATTTGTTTATAGTTTTAAAAAAATGCAATGAGAAGTGTTACAGTTAAATGTGTTTTTGCATTAGACAAGTATAGTACCTACTTATGAAATAATTATTATTTCATAATTATAAATCAATATTTATGTGAAAAATATGTTTGCATTCGATTAAAAATTTATAAACTATATTACACTTACAACGCCTGGTCCGATAGTTGTGCTATTTGGATATGGATAAGTATAATTAACATCTTTACAACCTAAAAAGGTATATGTTGTTTTTCCTATTGTGTCATTAAGGTATGTCACTTCCTCTAAAACTCTTGATATATCTATTTTTTCGTTTTCGTTTATTTGACAAAAACAAGGATTTGCTCTAAGACATTCCGCATTGATTTTCAGAAAAAGTATCGTTGAGCTAAAAAACAATAAAATATTTCGAATTTCAACCATTTTTATTTACATTTTATTTTTGAGAAATTCACAACACAAATGTTTAGGAGGTTAGTTATAACAAATGACATATGTCAGTCAATGTCAATGCACGACTTGTCACTCAGGCAGGAGTGCGTTATGAACTATGGTTATGAACCTCGCACGGCGCGTCTAGACCAATATTTTGCTGCGTTTGAGAATCCACATCGGATGCATTTTTTACATCTCGAGCGTTTTTTTATCCACATCGGACACATCTATCCCATTACATTTACGTATACTGAATCACGTGATCAAAGATTTTTTTTACATCTCAGATGCATCGGATGTGGATTCTCAAACGCGGCAATTAAAATGGAAGAACAAAGCCAATCAACAAAATAAAGCCGCATAGCGAAATGATATTTGACACTTTGGCGCCCACATGTGCGTATCGAAATGCACTAAAAAGGATCATCAAAATTAAATTTAACACTTATTGGGGTCTATTCTGTAACAATTCCTTTATATTTAACGGCCTTTAAAAATATTTTCTCCTTTACTTCTGTCATTATTTTTATTATTTTTATAACTCGATGCACCAGGGATTTCAAAGATGTAGCCACATTAAAAACGTTATATTACTCTCTTACATGATCAAAGCTTGAGTATGCGTCTGTCGTCTGGAGTCCATTTTACCAACTTCACACGGATCGAATTGAAGCAGTTCAAAGGCGTTCAAAATTACTGTGTTTAAAGGAGGACGGTGTTTATCCGCCAATCGGAATACCAAACCAAAATCTTCTTCAAAGATCACTTTTTAAGCCTCATAAAAAGACGTGAATACCATTGTTATGTGTTAGGTTTCAAAATTGTTAACGGTTTAATTGATTCTCCTGAACTGTTGAGAAAAATTGATATCTGCATTCCGACAGTATCCTCTAGAAATTCTAACATATTTCACATATCTGTACCTCGCACAAATGTTCTGAAAAATTCTCCATTTCATACTATTAGCCGCGTTGTGAATAGTGTGAGTAGTGACATTGATATCTTCTCATGCAAACTTAGGGAAATAAAATGTAATTTCCTAACATAAAAAAAAATTGTATTGTATTGTATTGTACCTACTAGCTGTTTACAAATTTTTGTATATTTTGTACCACTTATAGTCTATATAATGTATGTGTTCTTTTATTCCTGCTCTGTAATTGGGATTGCCTGTAGAGCATTGTAATAAATAAATAAATAAATAAATAAATAAATAAATAAATAAATAAATAAATAAATAAATAAATAAATAAATAAATAAATAAATAAATAAATAAATAAATAAATAAATAAATAAATAAATAAATAAATAAATAAATAAATAAATAAATAAATAAATAAATAAATAAATAAATAAATAAATAAATAAATAAATAAATAAATAAATAAATAAATAAATAAATAAATAAATAAATAAATAAATAAATAAATAAATAAATAAATAAATAAATAAATAAATAAATAAATAAATAAATAAATAAATAAATAAATAAATAAATAAATAAATAAATAAATAAATAAATAAATAAATAAATAAATAAATAAATAAATAAATAAATAAATAAATAAATAAATAAATAAATAAATAAATAAATAAATAAATAAATAAATAAATAAATAAATAAATAAATAAATAAATAAATAAATAAATAAATAAATAAATAAATAAATAAATAAATAAATAAATAAATAAATAAATAAATAAATAAATAAATAAATAAATAAATAAATAAATAAATAAATAAATAAATAAATAAATAAATAAATAAATAAATAAATAAATAAATAAATAAATAAATAAATAAATAAATAAATAAATAAATAAATAAATAAATAAATAAATAAATAAATAAATAAATAAATAAATAAATAAATAAATAAATAAATAAATAAATAAATAAATAAATAAATAAATAAATAAATAAATAAATAAATAAATAAATAAATAAATAAATAAATAAATAAATAAATAAATAAATAAATAAATAAATAAATAAATAAATAAATAAATAAATAAATAAATAAATAAATAAATAAATAAATAAATAAATAAATAAATAAATAAATAAATAAATAAATAAATAAATAAATAAATAAATAAATAAATAAATAAATAAATAAATAAATAAATAAATAAATAAATAAATAAATAAATAAATAAATAAATAAATAAATAAATAAATAAATAAATAAATAAATAAATAAATAAATAAATAAATAAATAAATAAATAA